AATAGGCAAGTGTATGCATACTTTATTGGAATATTGCATGATTTATTCCTATACTTAGTTATTGTCTAGTCGTGTTGTTTAATACTCTACGAGTTTATAATGCATAGCTATTAAAGGCATTACATTAAGACTAATAAATAAAAGTTTGATTAAAAATAGGACCTCTAGGCTTATAAAAGGGCATCAGAAGTTGGTTATTCCAATCACAACCAATCAAATCTCATTGCAAAATACATTTGATATCACAATGGCAAAACCAGCTGATATCAAAGAAGTTGTGTACCCTATTATTTTGAATGTGGTAATAGGCTATCACAATCAAGGTAATCGATTACCTCAAGCAAAATTTATAAATATGTTTTAATTTTCCGCATTGCAAGATTTTCAATCAATTTCCATCATGTGATTTCCATGTGCATCAGTAAAAGGATCTAGAATGCATTCATTTTGATTCATTTTCACAAAGTAATTCGAACCCCCTCCAAAAATTCATACACTTCATTCTTAATTCCACTCTTAATTTCCATTCCTCACACTAACCCATACTTCAAACCACATTTTAATTCCTAACCTAGGGATTATTTAAACAAATTCACTCCAAACCTCTCATAATTGTCACTCATTTTCTGAATTTTCTATAACTCACATCTCAATTCTCTCAACTTTTTTTCTCATTCTAAAACACTCACAAAAGCTCCATAACCAAAAGCTTCACAAATTCTTCATTGGAATTTGTATGTTCTTGAGCTAAACCTTTATTGCATCATCATCCCTAGTTCAATTCTGGTGTGAGATTTCATTTGGATCTTGAACTAAGTTGTTGGAATCACTTTTGGGGGAGCTTTTGCTTATTGGTGGCTTAGTGCTTGGATCTTCAAGTTTTCTTGCAAGAGCTTCATAGATCCTTGAATTTTTTTTGTTTGGATTTGTATATTGCAGCTTAACAACACTCACCATAGAAAATCTCAGTTTTGTAGGTTGGTTAATTCTAGATCTAGCTTTAATTTGGCTTAATCTTGCATCTTATAATGTATATCCTTGGCTTGTTGTTGATATTTGATCCATTGCTTGCTTTGATCTTTGATCTTGTTGTTTGATTGATGCAATTGGTGTTTGGTTATATGAAATGACCTAATTTTCGTGCATAATTGATTGGTTGTTCATTTGGATGATTGGATAAGTCATTTTCTGCTGAAAGTGCTTTTCAGAAGTTAATTTTTTTGCCACAATCTCAGTGGTAATTGATTACCACAATCAGGGTAATCGATTACCCTGCTCATTTTTCATGTGATTTTGACTTTTTTAAGTGGGTAATCAATTACCACTGGGACAAAATGTGTTTTTCTTGCTTTTTCTTGCTTGTTTAGGTTCCTTTTCACTCTTAAACTTCACGGATTGATATGACGCATATTTGTGGAACACCTTGGAGCTGTTTCACCTCACATGACAGTATGCTTGAGTTTCTTCGACTTACGACTTTTACTTTTCATAACGCATGTACACGATTCAGTCGTTTTGCATTATTGATGTGATCATCATGTTGTATAATCCTTTGTGCCACTATGATTGCTTGTTCTTGATGTTTACAGTGCTGGAAATATGTTTCATGTTCATGTTTGTTTCTGATTCCATGATTGTGTGTTCGTTTCAAGTGAGTAATTGTTGAATTGCCCATGATGCTTTTGATGAGTGTTTAAGTATGCAATGTCTTTGAAAATTGTTCATGTTTAATTGATCGGTGCTTAATTGTTTACACATGTGAATAAATTGCTCTTATTTGATGCTTATTTATGTGTGCAATTCACGTGTGTTTGCTTAAATGTGAAGGCATGCTTTTGATCTTTTCTTTTGATGCATGATTATGCTTGGTAATTGAACATGTTCATTATTATTTGATCAATCTTGGATGCATACTTGATATTGTGTTGTTACATGATTATACATGCTTGATGCCTATTCGTGAGCATTTGTTTTGATGCATTGCATGCTGCCTTGGTAAATACATGACTGTTGTGTAGACTAGTAGCTGTTATATGCTTTTTTGTTTGACTTGCTGGCTTTTACAGATGTTTCTGCCTAAAAACATGTGCTGTTAAAAGCTATTTTGCTTATGTGCTGTATTTTATTGTTGTTCTGAGTTGGAAGTGTTGTTGTAGCTGCTATTTTTGTTTTGTTTTCTTTGTTTTGGCTTGTTCTTGCATGTTCTCTTAGGTATTCCTAGTCCAACTTAATTTTTGATTAAGCTTGGAGCAGGATAGACATTAGGAGTTTAATTCAAGTATGATAACATTAGGTTAGTCTCTTTTAACCTCAACCTTAGGTCCCTCTTTTGCACGCTTACATTAGGACAAATTTTCCTATCACATTTTGACTTTAGGGATATTTTGCATTACAACGTTAGGACCGAGTTTCCCCTTAAACCTTTTGTGCGTCTCTCTTCTTCTCTCTCAAAACAAATTCAAAACACATAATAAATACGACGAACAATTTGTGCCATGACCCTTAAGTATATGAGATATATTGAGTGAGAGGTCTATCCTTGCTTCGTCTATAGTGTTTAGCGCACGTCCCGTCTGGGGGCGATCATGCGACACATTTGCTCCTATATCATAGACTATAGTGCAATGTGAATCTCAAACCAAATCAATTCACTTCTCTAAAACTCACAAACAAACTCAAATCATTTTCATCCTTCAGGATCGTTTGTCAAACCTCATTTTCAGAAATAGTACGTTGTATTTCCGTTCTATCGCAAACAGACATCGACTCTAACTGCTAGAATGAGAACCTAGCGTCGCTCATAAAAAACACTAAGCAACCCGTGGTGAGTCAAACTACAGTTGCTCTGATTTCTCATTCCTGACGAGGATACGTAGGCATAAGACGACGAAGTCTTGACAAGCAACCTTTCCCCCTTCACCCGTAGTTTTCTGAACTACGTTGAGTCTGACTTTTCCATTGCACGAGGGAATACGTAGGCCTAGGACAACAAATTCTTATCGAGTATCTTCTTTTGTTTTCCCTTTTCGTTCTCGTTTCTATTTAGCAGTAGGCTTTAGATAACACACCCTTTTATTAGACAACAAGCGTGGATCCCGTTGAGTACAGTAGATGCGAGGGGGTGCCAATACCTTCCTCTCGCATAATCGACTCCTGAACCCAGGATTTGGGTGCAAGGTCATGTCTTCTCCCTTATTTAGGGTTTTCTTCGACCGTTTTCATCCCCGGACGGGATAAATAACATTCGATGGCGACTCCTCTGTTTATCTGCCAGGTATTTTTCGCAGTTATGACACACGCTCCTAAAATTTTTAAGAAAATAATCAAGGTCAAAAATTTTGTCAATTAAAATTAACGCAAAAAAATATTGAATCCAACCAATGCTACCTCTCTATCCCATATATGTCTTGTAGTATGGTCTGTATACAGGGGCAATAATGAAAATAAAATCTAGGCCTCCTCCAAATGCCTCTGGCTCAGCATCCGCAACAATCTCATCCACCGGACATGGCACTGTATTTGCAACATCAGCAGTAAGAGGTGGGACTGGATCAACAACATCTACAATATGAGGTGGAACTGGTGAAACCTAACACCTGCAGGAGGATGGAGGAAGTGATGCATCAGATGGTGAATCTCGTCTGATACGGGAAGAAGATTGAGTGATATGAGGCGAATCACAAGCCCGAAAAGTAGATGGTTATGCCTGACCAGAAGAACCAGGACCATTCGAAACCTGCTGACTCTTTTCCTACCGCACAGATGCGTGCTGAGCAACCATTTCGTACGTCGGTCTATCATGTCCATCATCTATTATGTATGTAAGTTAAAGTAACCCAGATCCTTAGTGCATGCAAACTCAAAAGCTGCATCAATGATATCAATGAACCATAAGCAATCTTAAAAAAATTTATTTTGATCATGATTTTCAGCCGGCAAACATTTAATACAGTATTTCTAAACTATCTTAAATGCTATTTCTACTCATTTCTAACTCTAATCTTGATTTCTACTCATTTACACAAAAATTCAAAAATTGGTCGAAAATAAAAAAAACTTACAAGAAATTAATGTTTTAGATGTTGTTTTCGACGTTAGAGATGATGGTTGAAGTTCCTTTAAGCCATGATGATTGAGTTTTGTGTAGGTGTAGAGAGAAATTTGAGAGATTTTGAAGAAAGGTTTTGAGAAAAATGACAAATAAAGAAGAGTCTGATGCAATTTAACGTCCAAAATATTGCAGAGATAAATCTCCGAAATATTTTAACATTAACTGACATTTTGGCACATTCGTAGATATATCTCAAAAAAAACTAAAAACATGCGGGAAAAAACATATGAGATGCATTAGGTTTATGCTTGGATTTTTAAAAAAATAATTTTTGAATCCCTAACAACCGTAGTGTGAACATTTTTAAGGGAAGGGTGACATATATAGTATTTTTAATTTGATAAATCTTCCTTCTAACTTAATTAATTTAATAAATTTGTCAAATAAAACAAGTTGATTAAAAGAATAGGCAAGTGTGTGCATACTTTATTGGAATATTGCATGATTTATTCCTATACTTGGTTATTGTCTAGTCGTGTTGTTTAATACTCTACGAGTTTATAATGCATAGCTATTAAAGGCATTACATTAAGACTAATAAATAAAAGCTTCATTAAAAATAGGACTCATAGGCTTATAGAAGGGCATCAGAAGTTTCCTTCAAACTTAATCAATTAGAATAACTTTGTCAACAGCAAAAAAAAAAGTTAATTAAAAGAATAGTCAATGTTTCTATATAGTTTTCAATTTTCATATTGCCGTGGTTATGGTGTAGTCGCGTTGTTTAATAGTTTATATTGCACATCAATAAAATGGCATAAGATTAAGAAGACTAATAAATAAAAGTTTGATTAAAAATACGACCTCTAGGCTTATAAAAGGGCATCAGAAGTTGGTTATTCCAATCACAACCAATCATATCTCATTGCAAAATACATTTGATATCACAATGGCAGAACCAGCTGATATCAAAGAAGTTGTGTGGCCTATTATTTTCCGAGAGTACATCACAGATGGTTTAGACGCTTTACCTGCAAACATCATCAATGGCAACATAGGACAATTCCACTTCATTCTGGGCTTTGCCACAGAAACGTATCTTGAAGATGGAACAGGCACAGGAGCATTCACCCGGACATGGAACTATGATGACTTTAGCCCATCAAAACTGTTGACGCTCAAGCAAGAGCATCCGAATGTGGAAGTGATAATGAACATAGGAGGCCATGGCGATGAATATGTATTCAACCCTCGTGATAAAGAAGAGTGGATTGTGAATGCCAAATCATCAATCAAAGGTCTCATCCTAGACTACCAGATTCAAAGCATACCAGTCAGCATTAGCGCTATTGACGGTATTGATATTAACTATGAAAACATCAAATCCAATGTGGATGACTTTGCCTACTGCATAGGTAAGGTCATACAACAGCTCAAGGAGGATTCCCAAGTTGTCAACTCCATGGATGTGTCCATTTCTCCAACAGAGCTTCTCCGACCCCATTACCTGAAACTGTATCGCGAGAACAAAGACAATATCAATTGGATTAACTACAAGTTCTATAATCAGAGTATTGAGTCAGATGTAGACTTTGTTAAGCTCTTTAAAATACTAGTTTTTGAATATGGTGCGCCGTATAAACTATTGCCAGGAGTCAGCACCAATACAAGTAGTCCTCCTTTAATGCCAATTGATGTTTTTGTTGCTGGATGCAAAATCCTCCTTAAAACTAAATCACTTGCGGGAGTTTTCGTTTGGGATGCTAATGAATCAGCCCCCGAATATTCACTCGAGGATGTCCTTCAAAAACTCCTTACTAAAGAGTGATGGCTCACTATCTAGTATTTCGTGTTTATTTCGCAGGTCATACATACTATAAATAATAGCAAGGCTTTATGAGTCATGCTATGTATAGTATGTCATATATTATAAATAAGACCTATCATTGATGGTGTGCTGTTTTTAATGCTTATGTGATGTTGTGATTTGTGAGATATGAATTGTTTCTCTTTTATGTATCATGAACTATATGTAGTATCTTGGTATGAAGTTAATAATAAGAAGCAAATATTATTGTTTTCTATTTCTCTATGTACAAACCTCTTACCTCACCTTTTATATCATCTTTCACATGTTAACTGTTCATTTCGTATTCATTCAATTGGGATAGAAGCAGCCATAATATATGTCAGCAAAGGATGGTTTAGTTGGAAATTATTAAATCTCAATAGATCTCATGATTGGTAGGGCAGGTTAATTTTTCATTTTCCATGATCATGTGGATCTTATAACAATATTCATACCATGTCGTCTTCTCTTGTGGGTAGTGTTTTCTCGATAAATCATTGCCTCCTAATTCGTTCTAGGATTTCTTGTTTTAGCAGCCAAAGTGGGAAAGAAAGAATTTAAGAATATAATTGGGAGTGGGAAGTGGAAGTGATTAACAAGTTATATATGTAGTATACTTTTCTAACACCACTATCATATCATGTTTTGTAACTTAATCAAAAAAAGTTTTACTCTTCTCTATCGGTTGACTTGTAGTTATATAGTGCTTGTTAAATAATTTGATAGAATCATTAACTAATTAATTATACAGATATGGTTGGATTTAACTCAATTCTACAAAATTAATTTTTACACTAAAAACGGCCTCCACTTATAAACACATATCCAAGTCATATATTTTTTTTGATGTGAGACTATTAACAATATTGATTATTAGTATTTCCAAAAAAAATATTATATAATGGAGATATTTGAATTTTGTCTAAACATTAGAATCTAATATGGCTAGATAGTTCTAAAGCATGACAAAAACACTAACACACTAACAGATATCGAAGATATCGAATTCTGTATCTTTTAAACAAATTTTAACACAAAAACACTAGCAAATATCAAAATTTTGTAAAGTTAAGATAGATCCCAATACTGACAAAAATTGTGTCAAGTGTTAGATATCATGCAAAGGATGGACCTAAAGTTGAGGTCAGAAAGGGATTATCCTATTTGTTATCATGCAAAGGATTGAAAGCCTAATGTCTCTCCTACATCCAACTTAATAAGAAATTAAGTGGAATTAGAAATCCTAGGGGATCATGTGAACAAGCACAAGTAAACACCATACTAATCAATCACAAATGAAAACAAAATCAAGACTTAACCAAGTCTCAAGAAAGTTAAGAGAAGAAAGAAGAATGAGAGATGAAGAAGAAGATGCAACAATAGGTAAACAAACAAAAAGTTCAACTCAAAAGGAAATGCATCAAACAAGCAAGAATTGATCTTAATCAAACAAGGTAAACATCAATAACATGTTAAGGTAAAACGAAGTGCGCACATGCCAAACCATACTCAAAGATTGGAAGTCAAAACAATTTGGCAAAACAAGGTGCCAATACACACACAAATGACTTAAAGTCAAACAAGAAGTATTATCAATCATCAAGCAAAGTGAAATGAAGTCAAATGAGGTGAGAAACAAGGTAGGAAAGTAGCAATGTTAAGATGTATTCAATTCATGTCAATGGTCAAAGAAAGAGAACAAAGAGTCAAGTTATGCATCATATCCAAACACAATCAATGGTCACACAATTAACAATAACAAACTCATTCAAAACACACTTCAGATGATCAAACATGTGAGATTAGGGTATGAATCCAAATGTTAAGCGAACATGAAAAAATATTAACACATGGATCATAAAAAGAAAACTCAAAGATCAAGTTCAAAGTATGCACCAAGACTAGTTAAACATCCACCATGATCATCTCCAAGGAAATACATGTATACAAGAATGGCACAAGGCACAAAAGGTAAAATTATACATACCACATCTTCAAGGTAAGAAGCATGATCAAATGATCCACATCACATTCATTTCCAAGATATCAAACAAATTCAAGAAGGACCGTGTTCAAATTGTACTCAAGAAACCAACCAAATCACCCTTTCAAAGAAAACAAAAGATCAAGTGAAGAAAGAGATGATAAATAATCTTAAAATGGATATAATAACATGAAAATAAAACACTCAAACACGTCATCCAAAGCATTCAAGAGTTCACAAGCATCCATTAGATCATACAAGAAAGCATCTCAAAGAATTAGGTCAAGAACAACAAAGGAGCAAGGCTAAAACATCATCAACTTGAAAATCCAATCACAAATTGAAAAATAATCAAATGAAAGTGAATCCAAATCTCTAATCAAGTTAGGACAACATGTAATCACATCAACTAATCATTTCAAGCTTCACTTAAGCACAAGTAGGCAAAATGGTTTCTAACTAGGTCAAGCCTCATGCATATTCAATCCAAAATCAAGTCATAATTAGGCATCAGTAAAAATTATAAAAATGACCTAATAAACTCCAACAGGAGGCTCTAACTCATGTTATATCCATCAAGAACAAGTGAGAAAAAGATCTCAATAAGAATTTTATAAATGCATCATTAATTGAATCAAACAAACTGAAGTATGAAACTAATCGGGCACAAGTCAAAGATCAAATGAAACCACATGAAAGACAATCAAGATATGATCACCAATGCATAAAAACCACACTCAAACAATCATCATTCATATGTCAAAATATGTTAAAAAGATTGGGTCAAGAAGTGTCTCAAAAGCATCAAAAGATCAAACCTTAATTCAGGGGTAAACATGTTAAGCACCTCTCAAGTCAAATTCAAAATAAAATAGTAAAATAAATTGAAAAATAAAATAAAATTATAAAAATATTCTCAAGAAATCAAATAATCATAAACATATTTTTGTCAATTTTTAAAATTGTTGGAACAATTAAAAATAAAATCAAATGCAAAGGAAACAAAATGAAAATAAAATGGAAAGAAATAATGAAATGGGGGTTGATAAGCAAAAAAGAAATGAACAAAGATCATGTTACGAAGTGCAGATGGGCAAAAATCCTAGGGGTGTGAAAAGCACATGAGACAAAAACCCAAACCAAATAAATAAGAAAACAAACAAAAACTAGCGCGCGTGGCATGCCCAGTCAGCCTCATTAATTGAGGTGGCGCTGACACACCAAATCCGCAACAAACCAACTTATCTCATTTGAATTCAAATAATGGTGCCAAGGCCGTATCACATCTTCTCCCACCTTCAGACGCTGGAGCCCTAGCTCCGGTCATCTTCTTCAACGTACACCTCACCGAAGCCACCCCAAAATCTCCAGAAATGAAAAACAAAACCACCAAATCACCAGAAATTTCATGTTGAGTCTGAATCTAACATTTATTTTGCAAAACAAGTTCATTATCATGGTGAATCAAAGGAAATAAATTTTGGATACAAAAACTGGAAATCACTAAAACAACACAACAAACACACTCTCATGTTCAGCAATGGCAAGTCAATTAATAAATAACAACCACAAGTCCAGAATGTGTATGAGTTAAAAGAAAAGAGTTAAGGAAAGAATACAAAGTGGAGAAAGTCCACTTCCTCTTCAAAACTTGCAGAAGCTTGAAGAAAACTCCACCAAATGCCTCAGTGATCTTCAAGAAGTATGAAGCTAGCAAGAAAGTTTGGAGAATCCCTTGGAAAAACAAGATCCGATGAGGAGAAAGCTTGAGAGAAATGAGAGTTTGAGATTTGGAAATAGGGAAAATGAAGTGGTTGTCTCTCATTTTAGGGTTTTTTTACTTATATATTGAGATTTGAAAAGGTTAAAATAACAGTTACTGAGGTTAAAAATGCTTGGTTAAAAATCTTTGCAAAACTTGAAATTGGAATGAGAATGAGAGTGGTACGTGTTCTTGCACACGTGAGGGTGCATTGTGGTGATTTTGGTTAGTGGAAAATAAAATTAGAATGAAGAGTATGGTGGAATCCTTGCTATGCAAGTTTTTTGCTCATTTTGGCAAAACACTTCAAAAGTTGTGCATGAAAATGTGTATGTGTTTGGTCACTTTTGGAAATATTCTTTGGCAAGACAAAAGAATGACATACGTTTGAATTGGAGGAAAATGAGTTACTTCATGAAAGTTTCAAGTTGTGTGCACAAGAATGTCAACATGATGCAAATACCATATGCTAGTATGATGAACCTTTAAGAGTTGTAACTTGCTGCATTTTGGCTCAAATGATGAGAATTAAGTATCAAGTGAAAGCTTAGACATCAACCTTCATATTCCATATTGATTATGTCTTGAATTGGAGCTTAAAACAAGGAGAAAATAGCCTTTGAAGTTATTTCCATAATTCTGCCTCAAAACTCTTAGAAAAACTCTAAGTTCTTGTCAAAGTAACAACTTTAAACCACAATCATGGAAGCACCATAAATTAAACTACAATGAGTCAAATGACAAGTTCTAGATATGGTTGTAAAGCTTGATGAATGATTTAAAACTTTGATGCTCAAAGGGAATTTGATTAGAGATAGAATCTTGGTGAAAAGTGTCTTGGAAGATGGTCCAAAAATCAGCCTTGAAACTTGCCACACATGACATCTTTGAAACCCTAACTTGGAGACATCATAACTTAAGTTTTGCCAATCCAATGGAGGAGTTCTAGTACTCATAAGAAATATTTGAGAATGATATAGAACTTTCATGTTGGAGGAAAATTCATTTGAAACTTGCATCACCATGAAAGATGGGCTTGAAAACATGTACCTCAAGCTGAATTTTTATACTTTGAAAAAATTCCAAGTGTTGAAATAACAAAACCTTGATTTTCTCAACTTTAGTTGTCTATATCTCTTAATATATAAACCTTTTGGACTTCCTTTCTTCTACAAAATTATAGTTTATGATGTCCTCTTTAATTTGATAACAAGTTTGCTCCATTTCGATCAA